TCTCTTATACACATCTAGATGTGTATAAGAGAAAGTATATATATATATCTATATATTCATTCATATTTATTCATTTTTTTTTCATTCCTGATGATGACATAATTAATGTCGAAATATTGAATCTCAACACGATGGCGTGTATTTCAATACTTGGAGTATGTATTATACTTTCTTATATATATTCTGTATGTGTACATTGCTTTCATGAGATTGTATTTTGTACTTTGAGAACAATAGTAATAATAATAATACTAATCTTACAAAAATAATCATTTTCCCGCCAAGATCTTGAAAATTTGCACTATGATCATTTAAATTAAATTTGATAAAGACAGTATTGTAAGAGTAACTAGTTAAAAAGTTTTATTGTCAATATTCACATTTATAGCAAAACTACAAGTGACTAAAATAATGCCATATTTTTTTCAATTTACCCCTATCCGAGCCCAGAAATGGGCACATGTAAAAGTAACTAAAAACATACATTTATTTCCCTACCCCATCTTAATTAGTCCAAAATAGGATATTTTATGTCAAAAATTTCAAAGTGCTATAAAAAGCTTCAAGAATGTTTTTTTTTTTTCTGAGACACTATATGATATACTGATTCAGAAAAACCAAAAATAAATTTTCCTTTACTTTTTTCCCGCTAATTTCCTACTGCACCCAGGCTAGTGTTCAACGAGGTCGCGATTCTCAGCTTCGTTTTTACGGATTACTAATCCGTAATAACGAATTAATTAATTCGTAATTACGGATTAAAAATTCGTAATTACGAATTAGTAACCCATAATAACGAATTAACTGATTCGTTATTACGGATTAGTAATCCGTAATTACGAATTAGTAATTCGTTATTACGGATTACTGAACATATACTTTATTGGCACTAATGGGCTTTCGTAGGCCACAGCTTAACAATGACAGTAAATCACAAGTTTGGGTTTGCTGCGTACTGTAGCACCATAAAGACATATAAACAAATAACATTGCTCGAATATTATCATTTATCTATTTGTTTCTCTAATGTTGACTTGCGGAAGACAAATTTATTAAAATATAATGTTAAATAGAACTGATATTTCGATAGCAACTGCTATCTTTATTAACGTTATAAGTTATTGTTGAATTGCATTTATTCCAGGTGGTGTTGTAAATATCTTACCAATGCTTTATGTAAAAATTGAGCCTATTAAACAACAAGTAAGTTGTTGAATATGTTCAAAGAGTATACTCTTTGAAATGTTATTATTTACACCTACATACCGGTATAGTGTCGCTCTAATATACGTTTCCGCTAAGTTCCAGCCCTTGGATATTGTTACTAAGGTGTGAGACCTTAATAACGTCAGGCGCTCTCGTTAGTATGTTGCTGACTATGAGGCGCCAAATGTGCTTTCATTATTTATACATAAAATTTATTATTTAATATATAATTCAAATTTTCTTCATTATATACATATAATTTGTTTTCCCTCTAACATTTATATGTAAATAAATGGGAGCGATTTTCATTATTTATAAATAATTTAAAGTAGCAAAACATTATTTATAAATAGCCTAATTGAAGTGCCGAAAGTCATTATATAAATAATACTTTTACTCAAAGTCTTTATTTTTAAATAATTATTTTAACATTCTATTATTTATAAATAACTGCAAATGCATATTTATTATTATATAAATAAGGAAAATTATTTCACGCCGAAATTATATATATATGTATGTATATATATATATATATATATATATATATATATACATATATATATATATGTATATATAT